TACCATCCGGCTGATTTTCTGTTCTTTGATTCACAGCACCTAGTATCAATTTTACCTGTTTGGGGGCAGACCCTGATTATCCTGTTTGATTATCCCATGCTCAGTTTTCCTGCCTATGTCTTACCTTCATGTCAATCGTACAGTAGTTGTCTACCATCCACCTCTTCTCTTAGGCAATCCACTGACATCCTGAAGGTGTTTTGAGGGATACATTTACCTTAATTACATACACTTGGCAGGTTTGTTGACTTTGGCTCTTTCTTTTCACACATGGTTCCTCTGTTGTTGGGATCTTTTGGGGACAGATGTGATATTGTCCCAAGATCTTTTGGCAAATTTAGAATTCAGAGTGAAATCAGTGAAACACCAATAGACTCTTTCCTCATTGGTTGATCGATTGCCTCACACTGAGCCTCGACCATTTCGTATTTCTGTTTCTTGCCCTAATCCTTCCTGTCTTTTACCTGCTCCTTACTCCAGGGGATCTTCTTCTCGTCATTTTATTCAGTGCTGAGTGTCAAGCCACCAACAGTATCAGTGGCTGCTTTGTGGGTTCCGGTCCGGTGGGGACACTGGCGTGAGTTTGTCAAGGATCTCTGGGTTCTTCAGTATCTTATCCCAGATACCTGTCATCAACTTCCTCTCCCTTCCGCATTATCTTGGATACCCATTTCTTTTCCATTGCCTCAGGGTCCTACAACATGTCAGCATCTGTTCGAGGTGGTACAGGATCTTCTCTCTCCAAATGCCATTGACCTTGTTATTCATCATTCTCCTGGGTTTTATTCCAGGCTGTTTGTGGTAACCAAGAAAACTGGAGACTGGCAAGGCAACCTGCACTTGATCTCTCCCACCTCAATCGCTTCTTTGTGCTATCTCACTTTACCATGGAGTAATTTCTTATCCTAAGGTGGCCTTTTTATCCAGGTTTACCTTCTCCTTTCGACTCCATTTGATGGAGCTGGCTGTTCCCAACACACTTATTACTTCCTCTATTACTGCTCACAAGGTTCTATCTCTTTTAGGCATGTGGTCTTCTATGGCAGCACTTATCCCCGTGGGTCGTGCTCATATGAGATCTCTTCAGTGGACTCTCCACGACCAATGAACCTTGAGTGGGATCCCTTGGATGTTCCTATTACCCTCCTCCTCCTTCCATTGTAGATGATCTGCAGTGGTAGTTGGACAAGGTTCAAACATTGGTGGGTGTTCCATTTTCTCCCCCTCATCCAGACTTATGTATTTTCACAGATGTGGGTTGAGCAGCAAGTAGCTTAGGTCAGTGGTCTTACCGTATCAATATCCTGGAACTTCTGGCTGTACATTGTGCTTTGGATCATTTTCTTCATTTTGCCAGCAATCATTTGGTTATGATCCATTCCAACAATTCTATGGTGGTGACATATATCAATCACCTGGTAGGCATCCATTCTCGTTCCCTTTGTGGTCAAACTTTGGATCTCATTTTTTTTGGGTCCCCACATACGGTATTCATCTCCCTATGTGTCATGTACTGGGTGCTTTCAACCTTGTTGTAGATTTGTCTTTTCATCCCAGACAAAATTTATCCGAAGGAGTTGTCTCTAGAGTTTTCCAGTGGTTATGCTGTCAGTGGGGTACTTCACTTCTGGATGCATTTGCCACAATCCTCAATACTAAGTTACCTTGGTTTTGATCTCCAGTACCTCATTATCTTGCACTAGCTATTGATGCATTCAGTCAAGATTGGACAGACAAATTCCTTTATGTGTATCCTCCCATTCGACTCCTTTCTTGGATGTTTTCTATCTTCTAGACCACTCCGTGTCAAGTCCTTCTGATTGCTCCTTACTGGCCAGCCCAGCCATAGTTTCAGCAGATGCTCTATATCCAATCTGCTCCACTGTTGCCTCATCCCATAACTCCATCTCTTCTATGATAACCTTGGTCCAGTCCTAGGTAGTTCATCCAGCCTATCCTACCCTTCGTCTTCACACCTAGTTTTTATCTCATCTTTGGCAAGGTGATCCAGTTTGTCACAGCAAGTAGCATCATTTTTAGCATGTTCCATTTGTCCTTCCTCCATGGAGGTTTATCAACGTAAGTGGACCATTTTTCCCACTATTGGTCTTTGGGTGAGGGGTTTTCTCCTGCTTGTCCTACTGTTCCTACCATTATGGATTTCCTCACTTGGCTATTTGGTCAGGGGAATTCTGTCTCCTTTATAGCAGGTTATCAGGCTACCCTATCTCACACTTTTTGTTTTACCTGGTACCATAAAGTTTTTACCTCTCAAATCTTATTGCTATTGGTGTGTTCCTTTTGGATTAGTCGACCTTCAAGTCATGCAGTCCTTCCAGATTGGGAGGTCAATGTGGTGCTGCACTGCCTTACTTTACCTCCATTTGACCCTTTGTCATCTTGTTCCATGTTTCATTTATCCCTTAAAGCATATTTCCTTCTCCTTTTGTTCTGTGGACATTGTCAGTCAGATTTGTTTGCCACTGGTGTTTCATGAACTCTGTACCATTCTACGTATATTCTCCTTTACCTGGATTGATCTTTTCTTCCCACAACTTCAGCAGCACAGGAGGGTAATTCTTCTTTCTCCCCAATTTCTCTTCCTTCCACTTCTCATTTCTATTTCCGATCTGATACAGATAAACTTCTATATCCCATTTGTGCTCTTTGTTGTTATGTTGCCTGCACAGCTTCTTTCCGTAATAATCATACCCACCTTTTAATCCTTTGGCAACTATCCTCTGTTTGTGATCTATTTTCTTCCACCATTACCAAATGGGTTCAGCTTTTAATTCAGTTGGCTTATTTTTCCGTGTTTCGTTCTTCCCATAATTTGTTCCAGGTGTCTTCCCATCAGATTAGGCCCCTTAGTTTTCTGTGGTGTCTCATCTCCATCATCCTTTGGAGGAAATTCTTCGAGTGGGCATGTGGACCACTTTGAATACTTTCATCTTTCACTATCTGCTGTTTCTTTCTCGTTGGGTTATTGTCTTCCACCCGTTGCCATTCTTCGGACTTAGATGCAATTGTAACTAGGTAAGTTTTCTTTCTTTTGTTACATATATTATTTCCAGGGGCCTGTCCCATATTTAGACCAGGATCCTGCTCTGTAGTTAATGGTGCCTGTCCAGGAACACTTCAATCTCTTACAATTGTACAAACAAAATCTGCACTGTTAGGCCATGTTGACTTTCAATATTTCCATACCTACAAAATGCATACTGTTCATCATTACAATCACATATACTAGAGATGGAGTGTTCCACAAGATTGCTCATAGGTTATTCCTCGCTATATATTTCCTTCTTAAATATGCTCATTCTGGACTGTACTAACCCGTGGACTTCATGTTTAAAGTATAAGGGCATTGCTGCCCATCCCTGCCATTCCTTAGTTCTGCTTTTCAGTATAGGGTTTCGTGGTCACCCATTGCACTGTTTCTGGTGTGAACATTTCTCTGGACTCTCCACTACATTTCTTTCCCCATCTTTCTTCCAGTGGAGTATGAGAGTCCTTACCACTTTCCAGTTCCAAGCTGCTGGAGTGTTGGACTGTGGAGGTATCCTCCTGAATGAGAGATATGCATTATAAACACTAAAGACTCCATTCAGTTGAGAGTAGGGTGGTGTTGTTCTGCTGGTGTAGATGACAAGATGTCTTCCAAATGGATGCTCCATCTCTGCATGGCTTTGTCCAAGGGGATGTTGTAGCTTTGGAGGGAGCCTTCATAATGATTGGGAACCCTCATCCTACTCTTGCATGAAAGTCGGTTACCAGCAGTTGAGTATTGGATTTGGAGTTGAACCAATCAACATAAGCCCTCACATGTGTTCAGAGTGTCTCTTGTTCCTCAATCACTTTGCCTCAAGTGCACTACTCCAGTGTTGTGTGTCATGGTGGGTGCTCTTGTTGGTTGCTTTGCTTCTTCCTCTTGTGCCACCCCTCAGTGTCTTTATGCTGAGAATGCTACTGCATTTGGGGTGGTTTCAGTCTGTTTTATTTGAGTGGTACATAGCACATTACAGGGACATATTTCTTGTTTATTCATCTGTAGGTCGGGTTTCCTTGATATATATATATATACACATATATATCACTCTGCTCACATGTGCCCTGTTCACAGATCTGTGGTGGGATTTCTCCTCCCTCCGGTTTGCTGAACTTCTGGTGAAGACAGTATGATCCTTGTCCTACCCTCACATGGATGTCAGTTCCTGGTGGTCAAGTTTTGGATGCAGTTGACTTGCCGTGTATGGTCCATTGCACCCTAGACAATATACACAATTCTGGGCACATCCCTTAATTTACCCACATTCCATTCATAAGGGAGATTGAAATTATTATATATTGTGATTCGGATCACTGTCCAACCTGTGTTCTCTCCCATTGGGATGTGTTCCTCATAATTTTCCATGCAGATCTGCCACAGTTTTTACAAGGCTGGGTGAAGAGTATACCTGATACAGAAGTTGTGCAGACTCCCATGGACAGTTTTGAAAGATGCTTCTACTTTTTTCTTTGTACTGTTCCCTCTACCTATTCAATGTGGGATTCTAGCTATACATGCAAGTGGAAGCAAGGTACCTTGTTGGAAGTTATAATTTTCCTATACTAAAAATGTATTTCTGACAGGTACTTACTTCTTGCTCACTCTTCCCACCCTTCCTCCCCATTGTCAACCTAGTGCTTAAGTTTCCACCTAAACTTGAAGTTATAGGTAAAATAGCATAGAGGGAGCCATGCGGGTGTGTAGTGCTTCTGTTGGTGGAGGTTTGTTGCATGATAGATTGCATGTGAGAATCAGTTAAACCATGTGAATTGAGAAGTGTGTTGGAGTGAAAGGCTTGGGGCATGCAAAAAAGTTTATGCAAATAGATGGCAGCACTGAAAGAGAATAGCTATGTATGTGAGCGGAAGTAAATACCTGTCAGAAATACAATTTCAGTATAGGAAAAATTATAACTTTCTTAAATTATATGGATATTAAATCTACTGTATAGGGGATGCAGAAGAAGGTGATGAATGAATACCATCAAACTACACCTCGTGGTGTCACAATACTGAAAGCCTCAAAATACACAGAATCATCTTCACAGTCCTAACACATTTTAGGTTTCTTCATATTACAGTAGGTTTTGTTGTGTAAGTTCCTAGCACTCAGTTTAGTTAAAAAAGAAGTAACAGAATAAAGTGGCTACCAAATTGTTTTATTTTCAGTACATAGCTTTTGTATATATTTTTCTTCCATATGTAACTAGTACTTTGACAATTTAGCTCTCAAAGTTGATTTTTGGCCCAATGTATTGAACTAATTTTCTGTTTTGTCAAATATTGGTTATTGTTGCTTCAGATTCAGGTTGTATATGTTTTTTTGTGCTTGTATTATTTTTTTTTAGGTATGACAAAGAGACCTGAATAATGGTAATTAGTTTTATAAGATATAATATGAAGTTATCATTTGTAGAAACTAAGATAATTAAAAATGATGCCATTTTAAGTTAAGTCAACTTTTTGGTTCCCCAGAGATGAGAAATAAATAGACCCCTCGTTATACACATTGTATTTGTAAAACTGCCATTTGTTTATAGAAAAGCAGAAGTAAGTAGTAATTTGAGTTATTAACTGCCCATTTTATTGGCATATAAAATAGTAATCTACATTTAATGACCGCTCATATTCTATATTTATCAACTGTTTGTGATAATTTTATAGAAATCTTCTAAATGGATTATTTGAAAAGCTAAAACCAAGTTCAATTCCCAAAAGCAAATGTTAGTAGTGTTGGAATTACATACATAATATTGTATATAAAACCTGCTTCTTCTCACTAACAGAATAGTCCAGAAAAGGAGGCATATCTTATGAAAAAAAAATTACAGTGGTTGATTAAATTTTTTTTAATTAGGTGACACAAAAATGTTTTGCATATTATTTAGCTGTACGTTTTGCATATTATTTAGCTGTATGTTTTGAATGCACTGTATATACTCCAGTTTATACTAGACGACTTAATGGGCAGTGCTTTCAAAAACTGCCATATATTGTTCTGTTTTTAAACATTTGAAAAGCACATTTTTGATTTCTGGAGAAAACCAATACACTAGTGTGTGTATGTGTAAAATATGTTAAAGACCCCATAAAATATGAAAAATCTTTTATATTCTGAAAATAAAATTAAAAAATGTTTTGTTACATTGGCAACACTCTCTTATGACCATTTAACATCAACTCTTGCAAACTGGGCTAAAATATTCATTTTTCAAGTTTTGCCAGTCATTGTCCACTTTCCCTGTGGTTGTTTCTGCTCTCATAACAATCATTTGTATTTAAGATCTTGAAGAGTGTTGATGATGATGTAAACATGTTTCTTAATAAATCTTTATAAAACTATGTGACTTGTCTCTTTTATATAGCATAGAACAGATATAGATAGGCTTATTTCTCTGATGGGTTCTACATAAGTCAGTAAAGTACAAATATCTACTATGTAACTTTAGTAACTGTAAAAAACTAATGTGTTAGACAATCACCACAGATTTTATGCATTATTATATCAATTACAAAGGTCTGGTATAAAGAACTTTCTATTTCAACATGTTTTTGAAGTCCTCTCTTTGACCCCAAATTAGCAAGTTGTAAATTGTATTTGTGTTTAACAACTTTCAATCACTTGTACTCTTGGTCACATGTTTTTAAAAGCCCATTTTTGTACATAGATTTCTTTAACTTGCATATCTTTCAGAAACATTTGGCTCAGTCACGTTGATAGTTGTAGTAAACAACATGTTAGATTTTCAGTATTTTAAATATAATGAAATGGTATGAGAATTTAACTTCCTGCAATATGAAGAATATAATGAACTTTTGAATTTTTTTCTCTGTTCCTGTATCTCACATTTAAGTAACAAAAATGTATATATAACATTGAAAAACAATCTTAGACTTTGAGTGGGTTTTATATTAATTTATCATTTCCAGATTTTTATTTTCAAAACTACACAAGTTTATAATAAAGCAGAAACAATAGACAAAGTAACTTTTTACCATAATATTTTAGTTACTTTATTTCTCACTTAGCACATGGGTATAATATATAGTTTCTTTGGTTCCCAAAGTTTCTGATTGTGAATTTGGTATGGATGGTTGACTAAACCACCTTCTGCTTCTACATGCTTGTTTTATAGAAGACTTTGCTGGGGTATGTGCAAGAGTGTCTCTTGGTTTATTACTCTATGTGCAGTTTACATATTAGGCTTGTTTGCAGAAGTTATACTCTTTAAATGTAGCTTGAGAGATATGTTGAAGGGAAAACTTTTGAGTACAAATAATTATGTATAATTGTAAGTTTGTAATGTATGCATTTCTGTAGTTAAATTGATTTGTTGAACTATGAGTCTTTACAGTATCAGTGAATTTTATTTTATTTGGAGCTAGAAATTTTCTACCAGCTGACTTCGTTTTTCAGATGAGAATTCATGAGGGTTTCATATTAGAGAGACAGATCCTCACCATCCTAGTAACATGGAAGTAGAGATCTATAGTTACATTTTTCTCACAAACTATAAGTGTTCAAGAATGTTTAGTATATCAAAATTGTCTTCCTTTTTTTTATGTTACTTATAACATCAGTATTAAAGATTCATCATACACTTCCAATAAAAGGGAATACGGTGGTTATTGGACAAAGGCATCTGGATTGCTTTCTCTTGAGATTATACAGTTGCTAATGTTGATTTGGCCATAGAATAAATATGAGTCTTGACAAATGTTACTGATTTTTATGAATTGGAATGCAAAGTCTAACCATTTGTGTCTCCTGATAACAGTTCAAGGGTGATCTATAACATTTAGAGATACACTCTCAGTGCTTTACTGATGACTTTCCAAAGTGTGGGAATTGTAGGAGCGTGACTAGTGCTTTAAACATTACACAAAGGCATCTGAAAACCAGTGAACACGATTGTAATCTCAGTATGTGATAGAGACCAATGCATTTTGTCTTGTTTATCTACTTAAGTGGAAAAAAAATGCTTTAGCCACAGCCCTTGTTACAGCTTTTACAACAGCTTACCATAAAACATTGAAAGCAAACTGAAAAGTCAGTCAAGCTACCCAGCACTAGTTTTTTTCTAAATTTAATACTAAGTGCAAACATTTTCTGGAAGTGGCTGATGCCACATTTTTTTACAGTAAATGGGACGCAAGTAATGAAAGCAATCAGCTTTTATATATATGTAAACTACTATATTTGTACTTGTTTCAAAAATAAAACTTACATATTACCTGTGTACTTATAAAGTTTTTTGCTTTTCAGAAGACTTATTGGATGCATATTGCATTGGTTATTTTGGCTGACTTAAAGCATTTTATTGTAACAAAACCTTACATTGATTTACTTTTCTATTTTCAATATCACTCAGTCTTTTTTTCACCAAACAGTGATGTGATGTTGACATTTAGTTGTTGAAGGTGGATAATTTTTCATATTGATGAAGTCTTAATGTCAAGAATAATGAGACTTCTCCCTTTTCTTCAAAAGGTAGGAAGATTACAACCATTAAGGGATATATTTGAAAATAATGAGGGTTGGTACAAATCTTTGTATAAATGTAGTTTGAGAAAAAAGGAAAGAAAATGTCCACTAATGAAACTGGAGTAAGTCACTAAAAACCTGTTACTCCGGTCAAAAATTGGGCAGATTGCAATCCTGTGATTACTAAACTACAAAGGTTTATCAAAACACTTCAAAACAACTCTGTGCTTCAAGTCCTTTGTTCCCTCATCTTATTACTAGCTAACATAGTGACAGTCAAGTGTGATGCAACTTTCTAATATTAAGTTTATCAGTGTTTTCATTCATGTTACAAGTTGATCTGGTTCTATTATATATATTTATATCCAAAAACACTTTTTCTCCAGGAAAATACAACTACAGAGCCAGTTTTTCCATGGTGAAAATGGCCCTAAAAATAAAAAAAATAAATGTAGAATCCTCAAAGCCAGTTTACTATGGGGGGAGTCTGTCTCAAGAGCCATCTTTCCAACAGTGAAGTTGTAGTGAGAACCTGGTTTTGTAATATCCTTAGATTCACTGATTTCCCTGCAAGTGATCAGCTAAGAGTCACAAACTAACTAGAGATTTACCAGAAAGTATTTTTTGAATCAAAACCTGAATTTTCTTAACCTACACTGAGTTTGAAGTGAGGAAAGAGATTGGATGCAATGTATCACACAGTGAAACAATCTTTATTCATACGCTCAAAAACACAATCAAAGATTTTCTGGAAAGACATTCATGTGCTAATCTGTATCTATTTTAGAGTAGCTTTCTCCCAAATAAGGAGTATTATTCAGACCATGTATGCCTTTTGATATAACAAAATCTAGGATTTAAATTAATAGACAATAGGCCCCCCTGATTCTTTTTAATGCCTTTTATATTATAGAAGGCATTACCTTTTAACTTTAGTTTGGAGAAATGTATTAATGGTATGTATCATGTACTTTATCACTGCCTGCATGTGATTTGCCTCAATTTGTTTAAGCATAAATCTACATAATGGGATACTCCATAACCTGCTTAAAAGTAATGCTGTATATAGTAAAAATAATATATGACAACAAAGAGATGAAGATAATAATGAGCTAGGTAATATTCGTGAAAATGTAAGCATATGACATTTTTATAAATTCATGGCACTAGTTCCAGCAAAATTTCTGTCAAAGGCTGTTATGATGTGATTTTATATATATGCTTTGATCTCTGATTTTTCTTCATACATATATTTAATCAGAATTCTGTTATTATTTATATGTATCTGTGGGAATAGACAGATCAGAGGTTTTCTTCTGGAGAACCAATTCCTGATCATGGCCTGATATTCTAAAGTAAAATTAATAACAAAATATAGTTCCTAAGAGCAAGATTATTAACTGAAAATTCACTCTGAAATGCTTTCAAATGCACATTGCTTTTGGATTTATTTTCAAACCAAGGTTGTGATTGAAATATGTTCACAGTAAAACAACGTCCATTTTTTTAAAGTTGTTTCGACACTGTTTTAAGTACTTCTTCTGTCATTTTCTGTTTTGGATTAGATATAAGGCCAGTGTAAACATGTATCTTTAAATCATGAGTTCCACAGTAGTTCAGCGGTAAGTTTAAGGACTTAAAACGCTAAAATACAGGGTTAAATCCCTTGTGGTAAACAGTGCAGTTAATCCACTGTGTAGATTTGAACCAAAATACAAACAGATTTAGTCATTTTTATGAAATCACTTCGGCGTTAGTATTAAATATATTAGAATAGACCAAAGAAAATTTCGTCCAGTAAAGGCTGATCAGTGTTTATTATAAACAGCGCTAGAGACAAAAGTACATTAAAAATCAAATAAATAATTTTTACGTACCTGTTTGTTTTTAACGTCTTCGGGTCGTCTTTTCCATTACAACTTTTTAATAAACAGGTACACGTGTAATGTAAAACTGTTTTCAGAATACATATCCATTACCTTTTTTCTGTTGCGTTTTTACTTTTTTTTTTTATCATCACAGTTTTCATGTATTCACTATATCAAATCCATCGTCTAAAAGGTGTGATTTTATATTAAATTAGGCTAATTTTACACGGTTTTTAAAATGATAAAATGTGTTGATTGACGTTTAAATGCAAAAGTTATACAAAAAATTAGGACTTTATACTTTTGAACCCACAGAGAATATCATACCTTCCCTCTGGACTCTTGGTGAAAAAAAAGGGACAAAAATACCGAATTCAGAAAATATACTTAACTTTCATTAACAACAACTCCTTTTCGACTGCAAGTGATTTCTTTTTTCTGTTGGGCAAGTTTTTTTAAAAAAAATATTCATTTGTATAATTCTTTAAACATCATACTTGTCTCTACTATTTTATAACAGATTTATTAAGTTCTCAGCAAATTCAGTTCAGTTCTAGCCACTGTTATTATTTTGCAATTTGGATGAATCTTCCCTACATTAATTTGATACCGAATTTAGGGGATTGGGTGGGGTATATAGGGGAATCACTGTTTCCGTTTTTCGAGTTAAAACCAAAACAAACGTACTCCGATAAAGGGTGGGGGGTCGCGGGTTCGAATCCCCATCACAGCCGTGGGGGCGTTATAATGTGACGGTCAATCCCCCTATTCGTTGGTAAAGGAGTAGCCCAAGAGTTGGCGGTGAGTGGTGATGGCTTCCCTCTAGCCTTACACTGCTAAATTCGGGACGGCTAGCGCAGATAGCCCTCGTGTAGCTTTGCGCGAAATTCAAAACAAAACAAACAAACCGATAAAGGGCTCGATCTGTTAAAAATAAAATAAAAACTACTGACAAAATAATTCATCTCTGAATAATGTTCGGCCACGAA